GTTGACAGACCGTGAGATTTGTGTTCTTCTTCCTTCCTCTCTATGTATTTTTCATTTGTTGGGGTTTTGTATGTAAGTTTATCTTGATTGTATGTATATTTATGGATCTTTGTATAAAATCTCTTTTACAACTCTTTATCGATGGTTATCTTGATTTTTTTTCTTAATGGGTTTGGATTGCTATAGACATATACTATTCGTACTCGATCTAAGATGAACATCTATTAGATTCTAAATGCTAGAGATAGATTTAGAACTAATATTTACGTGGGTATCGATTCTTAATGCTCTGTGTTGTGGAGTTGTGTGAGAGATCAACAATGAGACGATACGGTTGACCTCTCGACTTTGCGATTAGAGATAACCTCTATTGTGAGCGATACATGATGATTTTGACGAGCGAATTAGGTTGCATGCATTTGATCCATATATTTTTTAGTGCATGATGGGTAAAACTAAATACAACTCCTGACGAGTTTTCTCATTTCTTAAGAATGTACTTATTTTCTTGTTTTATGTTTTCCTTTTGAATTTTTTTATCCCAAACCATTCAAACCCAAGCTTAGAGACGTAGAGATGGTAGAACGACATTCTTTCCCTCACACTAATCTCTTTGGAGACGATATAAATCTCGAAGAAAATTCTTCCGTAAATAATATTTTTGCTTCTTGCTTTACTGCTTCAACAACACGTTGGAACACAAGCTAGAACATTTTGTTCCACATGTTTCCTCTACATAAAATACATCTTGTACATATGTTGTTTTACCTAATTCAGCCAATCAAAAGAAACAACAATCTCCTCCTTTGACAAATTTTGACTAAAACAACTTAAAAGATGTGATCTTCAAGAAGTAGCACACCATATCACACATTAGAATAGACAGAGCAAACAACATCAGCAAAAGTAGCACATAAGTAAGGTGGTTGCTACACATCAAGATATTAGATCAACACAAACATCATGTTGGAACATCTTGTCCTACATGATCATTACACCTCCTTTTTGCCACAATTTTTCAAAGGCATGGAAATAACCACAACCAAAAGAGAAAGCTTAAGGATCCATAACACAAGCTTGACAGGAATAACACCTAACCAGACCAACACACATCTTCAGCCAAAAGACCTCTAAAAGGAACAATCTTCAACAAAGGACACAAAACCATATTAAACAAAAGAACACCACAATAGCAGTAGCAACAACAACAGGTTGAAGTGAAAAAGCTCCAATATTTCTTCATCAAAAACCAGACCAGTTTCATCAATCACGTGAATAGATGTTTGAAGCAATGGTTGAGACATGTTTCCCAATAAATATCTTATAACTGAAACTCGGCAACCCATGAGGAATACTATCAATCTTAACCTCAATATCCTTTATCAACTTAGGATAACCAGATCCAACATTCATCATTGTCTTCAACAAGTGAACATCACTAAGAAGCTCCACAATTTCATTATACTTCAGTGCTTCAACATAATGTTCTTCTTCACCTTCACTTTCAGTTTCCTCTTCCTTGGTCATAATATTGTGAATAGAAAGAACCTTATCAGACCTTGCAGACTTAATTTTGCCTAAATAATCATTAATAATTGAAAAATTCAAACACACTTTCCTCTTTCATACACTTTTCTATACTTCTTGTAGCCTAGAACATTACACTCATCAGTAATGTTCATAATGAATTCCTTGGCTACCTTTTCATACCAAGGATAAACATCAGTTACCATTTTCATCAGCTCTATGATTTGTTTACAATCAAGAGCTTATTTACCTAGCTCTCTCTCAGCTGTAATCCTTATTTGAAAAACATATTTCAACTTCTGAAAATCTATTTCAGACTGAAAAGAAACATTATCCATGTGAGTAGAGGAGACATTCACATGAATTTTCTTCCCACCAACCTTTTTCCTAATAGTGGACACAAAGTCCATGACACCTTCATCATCTGTCTCAGAATTACTTGTCTGAACAAGTTTTTGGGTTCACTTTTGATTTAACTAGGGCAACTTGCTCATACTTCCTTTCAGGTGGAAACTCAGTCACCATCATGTCATACAGATTGTCTGACATATCCTAGTTGACATGTTCATTATAATCTTTGAGCATTTAGTTACTCCACAATAACTAAGTGCAACTACTTCCAACATATAAACTTTGGGGATCAAAGGTGTAGTCATTCATTTTCTTTACTTGAAAATCAGGAAAGTAGGTAACTTCTCCTACCATGCTCAACTCAAATCCAGCTTTCCTTTATTAAGCAAAATGTTCCAACATTTTACTTGACACAGTTTCATTAACATAAATGTGAACTATCATCAAATTTGAAATTTCTTCCAGGTTAACACCCTTCATGTTCTTGATATCAGAAGTAGCATCCATGATGACTTCCACATAATCATCCTTCTCAATAATACCATCCACGTCAATGACAACATTACTAACCTTCTGATTGACTTTCATATTCAAGTACCTATTGAAAAAGACAATTTTCACATCCATCTCTGATAAAGTTTGAACTTTAGAATACATGACAATCTTAGTAACAATCTGATGGCTCCAAGATTGACAAAAGTTTTAGAATTTTATAAATTTCCATATTCTTTAGCATACAACATGATGTTTCCTGTTTTGTTAGCAACAACTTGCTCAACATACAAACCAATGATATCAAAACCTTCATCTTCATGGAGAGTCATTTCAGCTTGAACAACATTAACAACACCAACATGGGATACGAAAGTATCAACCTCAACATCTTCATGGATATGATCATCATCACTCTCAATTATTCTCAAGTGTCACATCACCATTCTCCTTATGAATTTGAAACTTTGTCAACATGTTGGACATGATGCTTGACATATCCTTATCAACATCTTGATTTCCCATATTAGTTTTCTGGGTCTCTTCAGCAAAAGACTTTTAATGAGATGATGATTTCTTATCGGCCTATACATGAGTGGGACATCAAGCACCTTTTCACCAGCAGCTAGATCAGACTTGTCAAAATATGGAATGTTGTGAAGAGCAATATCTGGAACATACATCTTACAATTGAGAGTCAACAGACTAGGAGGAACACCAATGTCATATTCATCAAACATAATATCATGTTTTTGAATAGTGACAATTCCAGAAATATGAGAAGGAACTCCAATAGGAATAATTATGCCATAATCATTAATCTTATTTAGCTTATTCATCATTAGTGACATTGGAGATTCTTCTTTGTTTCTTTAAAAAACTTGAGCATTCAACTTGAATATATCCAAAATCTTTGCATTTAAGACATTGGATCCAATTGAGATTTGGTTTTTCACCATCTTTTCTTTTATGTTGAAAATTACACCTCTTAGAATAGTGTTGTTGACTGTCTTGAACATTTAAAGAGACATTATTCCAAGAACTCATATCTAGTATTCTCATGACTTTACTAAAGATCTTAGCAATTCTGAGTTTCTTCAGAATCATAATCTACTTGGTCTTCACAACCATCATAACTACCTTTAGCTATATTCTTTGGAGGATTTTTAATACCATATAATCTTTGGTCTTTGAATTGCTTTTCCTTCATTAAAATTCTCCATCTTAAATAGAATAAGAACTCAATTAATCGTTTCTTCATCTTTAGCATTTTGTTCATAAAAGAAAAGTCTTCATAAAAAAAAGTAGATTTTACTTTCCCATATAATGATTTAAGATTTAAAGATCAATATGCGAGACTTATCCAATAAACACATTAACAATCAAATCCTCAAACAATAAAATTACCTCCAACAATAACCTTACCGAAGAATCATAGTTTCCCAAATTCTCATCTCCAACACCAATTCAAATATAAATTTCTTATAATCGCTACTTATAGGTACGAGTGTCCAAAACCGAAGCAACCCAATAAAAAACTGCAAACCAAACCAAACCAAATTGAAACCGCAAAAAACTGCATTTGGTTCGGATGTGTTGGAACCATTTTTTAACAAAATTGTGTGGTTCGGTTTGGTTTGTGGTTTGTATTTTGCAAACCGAGATAAACCAAACCAAACCACATTGTGTTACAACCCAAACTTAACTTATTTCACATCCAACCCAAAATTCAAACTCTCCTAATAGTATCACATTCTTCTTATCTTTTTGCCATGTACATCTCACTTTTTCTAGTTTAATCTCTCATCTCTTATGTTATTTCTTTTTCATCTTCTCATTTTTATGTTACTGTTTTCTTTTTCAATTACGTTTTTATCTCACATTTCTTCTTTAATCTCGCATCTCTTATGTGCTTTCTTTTTATCTTCTCTAATCTCTCAACTCTTCTGTTTTTTTTTTCTTTTTTTATTATATGTTTTTATATTGTTTTATACTATTATTTTATATTTTTTATTCCACTTTTATTTAATTTAATTTTTTTATATTGAATAAAAAAGTTTTGTTTAAATGTGATGAGTTTTTTTATATTGAATAAAAAAGTTTTATTTAAATGTGATGAATTTTGTTATTATTTAATAAAATATAAATAATTAAACACAAAATTATGTTGTTCTTTATATAGCTATATGTCTCAATAAAAATATTGTAAAAAAATCTAATCAACCAAACCAATCCAAACCGTATTGTTTTGTTTTGATTTGGTTCAATTTTATTTCTAAAAGTCAATCGAACTAAATCAAACCACATGTTTTTTCTCTAGCAGTTCAAATACTTTTAACGTCAAAAGCATCCAAATTACACCACAAACACTCCTACACCCCTACTTATAGGAGGCACACCTATGTTCCTGTTCATCTTATAAATCTTAATCTCGTCAACACAAAGATAAAAATATTAAGATCACAGAAAGACATCTAGTGAACTCAAGTGTTGCCCTTATTATTGTTATGCAATATAAGCCAGTTTTTTTTTTATGTTTTCTGTGCTCGAAGCAATACAAAATTTGTTGCAATGCTTCTTCAATTTCAGCAGCAACAACCGCAAAAAGAATGAATATAAGAAACCAACAATTACTTCTTCCGTAAGTATAACAAACCAATCACCACAGAGATGCCAACTACAGCAACGGAAAAACCCAAATACGACTTATTCTGCAGCTGCGTCGTGAACTTTTCGTAATAACCTTTCTTGGTTGAAATTGTAGACGATGTGTCAAATTCACCGATATAATATTTCTCCATGAGTTCTCTTGCACTTTTGCTGTGGCCAGCATCTTCAAAATCCTCGGTTGCATCTCTCCCTTCATATAAGTCAAAACACAAGGTCTAATAAGATTGTGATTTGGATGAAGTTTTCCATGTTTAGTTATGCAATTCATACAAGTGTGACAAAAAAAAAAAAAAAGCATTAGTATGTACCGGTTGCAGCGAGGATTACATCATCTCCACCGGGATGCTCTTCCAAATATTGTGTCACATCGTATACCTGCATCGGCGAATGAAATAAAAAAAATGTGACAAATAAAGAAATAGCAGGCAAACGAGCAACAAACTGCGCCGCTACCCCTTTTTAAACGGCAAAACCAATTCTCTTAAATACTAAATAAAGAAGCAAATGGAAGTGCGTGGCATAAAATAAAAGCCATAACTAGAAAAAAATGTTAACAGAATTTCAGACTCAGATAGACATAGAAGACAACTATGGAATCAGCAAACCATAGTATAGCAAATACTATATTTGCAAAAATTATCAAACAGTGCAGTCAGATCAACAGAACCCAGCAATACCAAAAGAGGGTGAGTTCACTGGTTCACTTCTTTAAAGCAATTTAAAATCATCGTTGATATGTGTCTAAACAGAGACACACTACGAGCTTACTCGAGAGTTATCAAGTCTAATGGCAGGAAAAACAGCCCAAGGCAATAGTTTTTTAGTACATTTCATTTGTTCTTTTTATTGGGTTTATTCTCAAAGGTCTTCACCCAGGTTCCCTGTGAGTGAACCTCTCCCATTTTAGCAGAGACCTTTGATACGTGAATCTTCAACAAAGATCAGGGAGAGGTGTTGCAAAATATCCACCAAATCCCCCTCCAACCCCCACTTTGAGCCTACCTGTATAAAGTAACAAGTTGCAAATTTAAATCACTAGTCTCCACTGGTTAAATGTTTTTATTCTTTAGGTTTTCTTCATCCGGTTTTACCATCTAAAGTGAATATCCACTAATCCATTTACCATTTTATGCATTCAGTTTCACCATTTTATATGAGAGGGGGATACAGGGTTGGGGGATAGAGAGAAACTAACATGAAAAGCCAAGGGCATGAGAGCAAATATTTTCTAGGACTTTAGGTGGTGCATTGGTAGATCCTTTTTAAAACTGTCCAACTTATACGAGCCTAACCAAACAGCGAATAAACGCAACAACTTGCTCAGGAATAAGGTAATACTACAAGCCAGAGCCAAATTGTGAAAATTATAGACAAAACTGGTAAAAGAAAACAGTAACCTGCAAGATGCATATGAATTATAGCAATGAGCAACAAATGAGGTGATATGGTATCACTATAAACAGGGCCGTGGAAGAGTTCAAAGAGCAACCAAAATTGGGGGAACCCTACCAAATACATGATGTAGAAAACATGTTCCAAGAGGAAAAGGTAGGGGTGGTAAAGTGGGCGGCCCGTCCCGTTTAAACCCGTCCAAACAGTTCAAAAGTTAAAATAAATCAAGACCAATTATAACAAAAAAAATAACGAAATAAACTCAAACACAATTAAAAGCGTACCAAAATAAATAAATAATACATATCATCCTAATCCTATTTAAAAAAGTAACTACTAAAAGAATCCAATTACAAATTTACAAAAGACAAACAATGAAAACAATTACACTGCAAAAAACATCACAAACATTACAGTGCATAAAATATCAACAGAAGACTTTCTCATTATTTATATCATATAGACTTTATATTGACTGATTTCTTAATAGTTAAATCCTAAACTTGTCACACGTATACACTAATCAAATCCTTCCTTTTCTTAAAATCAACATCTATTTCTAAAGAAAACATGTGAGCTAATGTTTGACAACTTAATAATTCAGCATGCCATACAATTGTTCTTTTATTTCAAGTTTTTCCAATCAACTCATGCATTAGAAAGTTATAGAAAGAACGTTACAATTATAATTCAATTTGTTTGTAAAATAATTTATAATACAATTCAATCAACATAATTCTAAGAGAAGAGTGTTGTTTTTATAGTTAAAGTTGTTTAAATTATAAATTAAAAAAATAAAAAATCTTAACAAAAAACTTGTGGACAAAACCCACTCCGCCCTGCTTTTTCAAACGAGTTAGGTGGGATGAACCAACTTAAAGTATCAAGCCGAAAACTTCAACTCAACCCGCCAAAAATAGCAGGTTAAACGGGCCTGACCCGTTTTACCACCCTTAAGAAAAGGACACTCAATCTACATGGCTATGTTGCTAGATAGCGGCGCTGAACAAAGTACTACTATTCTACGATATACTATTTAGTACAAATATTGTAAAATAGTGGTGCAATAACTTTTGTGTAGCAAAATTCACTATTTTTCATGACCCACAATTGACAACACTACGACCTCGTCTGCAATAGAAGCATCATGGATAGAATGACCCAAGCAAAAGGAACATTGACAATATAGATAAGCAGAAAACCATGGACACATGAGGAAAACTATGAACTTGGCTAATTTGAGCATTGAGTATCCAATTTATTTTTGTACAACTTATAACCAGTGTATTTAAAGACTATATATGATAGATATCTGCAAACAAAAACCACAAATGAACACCCACATGCATGAATTTGATGTGAATATATACTCTTCCAAATAAAATAAATCCTTTCATTATTTTTCATTGTTAATAAAGCAAATAAATGAATGCACTTTTAATTTTTTCTAATTTAAAGAATTTGTTCTCATGAAATGTACTAGGATGACCACTATTTGATCTTTTTCGGACAAATTACATGAATAATAACTATAAGCTTATATAATGCAGAGGGAAGAACAAAGTGCAAGGAGAGGCGAGGGAGTAACTTATGATATTTCTTTGAAACGGCTGAAGGGCAGAAACGCCGGTGAAGGAAGATTAGGGTTGAGTCTCAACTCAAATTTGATTGAAAATCCAAAATTACCCTTAAAGCATTTTAAATTTTTCGGGTAAGTTTAGGTATTTTAGAGGGGAAAGGGATAGCTGGTCAAAAAACAGCTCCGGGACAGGAACTGCACCGCCCCCGCCATCTGGTATTTACCTTATAGCGGCCGCTATAGTGTTCTGCACCGCTATGGCTATTCCCATAACGGCTGACCCCCGCTCCGCTATAATGGGATAGCGCCGCTACTAACCATTCTTAGGTCACTAAGTTTTTGTCATATGACCTAAAATCTTAACAATTACAAGCTTTATGGATGAATTTGGTTTTCATATATAGTAGGCAACGATTCTCAATTATCATGGTTGTGCCCTAAGAAACCTACCAGATACAGTCCAAATGCAGATTAATTTATCTATATTGAAAACAAAGAAAACATATGAATTCCAGTGACAAGGTTCACAACCTCAAGTCAAATATCATTGGGAAAAGAGAAAGAAAATAGCCAACAGTATTGAAGCATTATCAAACAAAATTACCCCATCAAAAACAGCAGCGCAGAAAGCAATTGGGGAAGACCCATATGGGGAAATTGAGAGATTGGAGAAAAAGTTAGTACCTTTCCATCGACAATGATCCAGCAATCGTCTTCGGTTTTGTGGCGGGATGCATCTTGGATGGTGTAGAAATTGGTGATGGTTGGCATGTTTGGGAATGGAGTCCAAGGATGTCGGGAAGACGAAGAGTCGGCACAAAAATATTTTGGTTGGGTTTTATGAACTTTGAATTCCTGGGCTTTCGGGTTCGTGGGTCAACATACAACTTGGAGATTTTATTCTTACATTACAACCCATCTTCACCTGGCACATCCACATATTTTCGTAATGTCTATATTATCCTCTTTAAAATTTTATCAAAAGTTGGAACCAAAAATATGGCAATTCAATAAAAATATCTAATACAAAATAAAATATTTGATAGTATATTTAAAAAATCTAATATATCGAATATTTCAAAACTTTGTTATGTTGATGGACATACAGATTTTTTATAAAGTATTTGTTTTTGCTAGATTTTTTATAAAGTATTTGTCTTTGCTAGATATTTCAAAATTTTGTTATGTTGTTGGACATACAGATTTTTTATAAAGTATTTGTCTTTGCTAGATTTTTTATTACAATTAAAAGATTTGGTAGTTTAAAAAGTATGGAGTTTTTAAAACATTTGTTATTTATCGAATTTTTTTTGGATCATTGAAAAATTTGATAGTGTTAATTGAATTTTGATTGAATGGTTGTGATTTGCCGACAGTTTTGTATAGTTGTGATTGCACTGATTGTTTTGTGTGGTCCATAATGAATTCAAAGTTGTATAAACAGAGACCGTGTGTTATTAAGAAAAACATTTTACAATGCCTAGTTTTTGTTTAAGGCAAAAATGTATTTCAACGGGGTGAAACCTCTTATAAAGTTTTGACTCCTTGGGGGCACCGCATATCTCGCCCTTTTGATATTCAAGTTGAATGATATGTTGTCAGACACCGAGAATAGAAATACTAGTAAGATCAAGTTTCGTGAAGAATGGATTGGTATTGATGGAAAAGTGAAATACAACTTTATTGAGTTGAAGACCGATGAAGATTTGAAAGTTATGTGGAGAAAATATCACTATAAGCAAACTAAGGGACTGATCAAGTTTGATGCAATAATTTCTAGATCAAATAATTTCAAAGTATCATAAATAAGGTCACATCATTAGCATATCATATACATACATCTCTATTCCATAATTTGAGTGTCACATGATCCGCATATCCAGTGAGCACAAAACAGACATTAGGCCCACTAGAAAACCCTTCATCTGTGTATAAACGGCTATGTCGAAGCCGAAGTAGTAACCTATGTCTCAACAGGAGCAGTTACCTTCATATCATCCGTAGCAGGCGCTTCAATAGCCGTATGTGGAGCAGGTGCCTCAATAGCCATCTACTAATAACCTTTGTAATAGTCAGAGCCTCTGCCTTAGAAGGATGAGGCACATTTGTCGTCTCTGAAGGATGGGGCACATTTGTCTCTGCCATTATTTGCATGTCATCCTAAACTACTATCTGAACATCAACTGGCTCATCACCATCATCAACTCTCTTTCATCCAGATGTATATCCAGATCCTCTATATTTGATAGTGCAAGGTGCACGAAACTGAGTCTAATTGGCCAACCTCCTCCTGTGAGAATCGGTCGGGGTTAATCTTCCCACCCAGAGATGTGAGTTCTCTACGTCACCTCACCTCGCTCAAGGCGCCGCAATAGCAGTTTCAGCTTTATCAAGTTGTCGAGAAGCAATCGTACCATTTGATCCTCTGGTTTTCACTAAAAAATAAAACAAAATTATTTAACATACTGATAAGTGATTTTTATATCGTTTTTATTAGTTGTTTTTCCTTCATATTTTACCGTTTTTGTTTGCTTTCCTTTCATTTTACCAACTTTTACGCTTTGGTATTGTGTTTCCTTTGTTTTCAGGTCATAATAAGCATTTCAAGTGAAAGAAGGACGAAAAGTGGACGAAACACGGAAAAAGGCGAAGAATCAAAAATTCTCCATACAAAAACCACAGGCACCCGTAATGGCTATTACGGGCCGTAACAGGCATGACCCTCCAACTCTATTTTGAGGCGCCCCAGTACATTTACCAGAGTCCTGTTACAGGCACCCGTAATGGCTATTACGTATCGTAATAGGCAAGCGAGCATTTTTCCGATTTCATATACTTAAAGGCTTTTGATTGTTTGGATCTGATCTACATTGTTTGTAATTGTCATTGAAACTAAGTAGATTATTTCCATGTTTAGAATTTAATATAAAAACTCATATGTAGTCTTGTGTTTTTATCCAGTTTTTTTTAGTTTACGCTTATTTTACTGCTTTTTGTAAAAGTCTCCATTGGAGTACTGAATCAGATTTTTAATTAAGTATCTTCCTTTGTTTAATCAAGTTCTTTATCACTTTATTTATATTTTGTCAATTATACTTTTGTCTGTAGTAATCGCTTTGATTAGATCATTCCTCACCATGAGTGAGTAGTCCAATAGGGACTAGGGTTATGAACCCTATCATATGACTATTCACATGAACTTAAGCTAGTTACGAGAATTCCACCCTTTTTATTTTAAAAGTCTGAACTTTTAACTCAAACCTCGCTACGAAATTATGAGTGTTTTCAGGCATTTTCCTTATGCTGAAAGGGTAGAGGCGAATGTTGGAAAGCAGTTTTTAAATAATTAAATACAAAGTCACGAAAGTGATCGGACGAAATTGAGAAAAGTTCTAATTTATAATAGTTATGCAAATGTAATGGCCACTAATGAACGTTTCTGCACGATCGAAAGTCGACGAGCGTCCTGTTCGTTAGAGGTAGGGCAATAGGCCGACGAAAGTAGGTATTTTCGTGATAATCTATTTTTCTATAAACTCAGTCGAGATTCGCATAATAGAAATGCGTAAGTCATGTGGAGATGTCTAAGATAGGAGTAATAACCCTAAGTCCTATTTCTTTTATATATTTTTAAGCGTTTTCATTCCAATAAGTTGTTTTAACTTAAGTGTTTTTTCACTTAAGTCACTTTATTTTCTATTATTCAATTGCTCTAGCTTTACATAAATATGATAGAAATCTGTAATTAACCATTGGTCTCGGAGTATTGATACTTTTTTATTACTCTGATATTTGTCGTACACTTGCGGCATATCACCTGCCGGACTTTTCAAAAAAGTCGGTACCATTATGAATATTTCCAATTTTTTATTTATTTAAAAAAACAGTATTGATGCTTAACATTTTTCAGATATTTCAAATAACTAACGGAACACGTGCATTTTTTCCGGATTTTTTTAAAAATCCGAAGAAATATATTCATTTTTTCTAGATTTTTTCAAAAATCCATAAAAATGTATGCATTTTTATCGGATATTTCTAAAAATCCGGAGGAAGATATGTATTTTTATCGAACTTTTCCAACAATGTGGTAAAAATGCACGAAAAATCCTGTATACACTAAAAAATGCGGTAAAAACTTATACTTGTCATAAATTGTAAACGTTCGGTAGTCTGTATGAAAATTTTGAAAATTGCCAGAGGTTTTGAAAAAATTTGAAATGTAACAATGATTTTATAAAAAGAAAAAATTTTTACAGGATTAAAATGGTAAAGGGGTTGTGGGGTACCAGGTTAAGTTAGAGGTGCAAGGATAAATTCTCAACAACACAGTTTGATGGGACCAAAAGGAATATGGGCTATAGGCTAACATTATTTTCTCTTTGGTTCATCATGTGACATTGCCGAGATTATACTTAGCACCTCAAACCTATACTTGGCACCCCATGGATGAAATGACTAACTTTATTGTGATTCAACTAATAATCATAAAAATGTCAAATTTAATTAAAAAGTTTTCGAATTTTTCAAAATCTTATGTAAAATATTGGACTTATCTTAATGAATATTCACAAGATTGAATTTTTTTGTCTCTTTAATTTTTACTCGAATATTTCTAAAATGTGACACAGATTCAATAAAAATGCACAAATTTTATGTATTTGTTCTGGATTTATAATATAATTGGTATAAAAAGTTTAATTTTGCCAAAATTTTAGATATATTTGGTATAGAATGTAGGAGTGACACCAGGTCTTTAGAAAATTTGGTAGAAATGAATGAGATTATATTGAATTTTATACAATGTTCGACATAAATGCAAGGTGATCATAAAATTTTTAGAAAATATCGGTATAATGTTACGATTGACACTAGATTTTACCAAATAACCAGCAAGGGTGGGCATGACGCCATATTTTTATAAAATCTAGTAGGCTTTTTATTTATTGAGTAATAGTAGTATTTATTTGTTTTTAATGAGACAAAAAGAAAGAAGCAATAACATCATTCATAAATTGAGTGACTGACTTGTTAGTGTTGCTATTGAGATATTGTTGACGACACAAATGATGTTATTAATGATCCTTTGCATGCTAAGGCATGTAGATTAGCTCTCACTTGTTCTCATTATAGGGTGTAGATTAGCTCCCACAGGTTCTCACTGTAGGAGGACCAAAAAGATTCATCGACTACGAATTATCCTTTGTAGATGAGGTAGATGAGGATGTTGTAGAGGTGATGATGATGAGGCACATGTTGAGTGATAAAGAGGCACATGTTGAAGTGTTTGGCCATATAATGCTTCTTGAGCATGATACAATTGACGATCAATAAAGGGGTGCAACAAAGGGGTTTCTAGGAGGTCCTCTGACCTGATAGTGCTAACAAGGTACAAATATCATACTGCTTTCTGATATGGCAGAGAGTGATATAAATATTTTATTTATATTCGATTTTATATATTAGTAGTTAGTTTAAAATAATTGATATTTTATGAATTAATTATTACAATATTACATTCCATTGAAGGTTCCTACTTATGGGTTGAAGTTGGAAAAAATTTGGGGGTGAAAGTTCATGAAGAGGTCATGAGTTTAGTAGACGGTCGTGGTTTGCTTCCTCTAGTTTGATGTTCGGCCACCATGTTTGACGCCCCAATGTTATATGCTTTTGTGGAGGGATAAGATTAGGAGACATCTTTATTCCATCTTTCATTTAGAGAGATGACGACCATCTTGAACGGTGTCTATAGTCTATTCCATCTCCTCCAT